TTGCAAATGGCAAGATCTCATTCCTTTTGATGGCTGCATAATATTCCATTGTATATATATACCACATCTTCTTTATCCAGTCATCTGTCAATGGACATCTTGGCTCTTTCCACAGTTTGGCTATTGTGGACCCAAGGACCTGAAATTTTATTTTTATTTCCTTTCCATTGGAACTGCGATAGCTCCACGTGGATAGGGGCCACCATATGGGACAGTGCCGCTCTGGAGATGGCAGAGGGCACATTTCAGATGAAGCGGAGTCTTCTTGGTTCTTGGGTCAGCTGGACAGTCCAAGTGTCGCACTCAACCATGCAGTTGTAGTCTGAGTGGTGGCGTGGGGACTTCCCAGGAGGCGAGTGCAGGTGATGTGTGGGACTCATGAGGGCCAGGATGGGCCCAACTTGGCCCTGTGATCAAGAGGCCCAGGGCACTCCAGGCTACCCGCCCCCTCCCTCACTGGCCTTTGCTCTCCTTTTGTTCGTGTCTCGGGCACAGTGTACCTCACGGGTGTTTCATAAATACTTCGTTTTTAAAATAAAGCCCCATTCTGAGAATCACAGAGCCAGCTGTCCCTGACTTAGGTCATAGGCTGGAAGTAGCCAAATCCTAACTGCTGCCCTGTGTTTATGTGCATAAGTGTGTTCTGGCACCAAAACCGTGAATCCTCGTAGGTCAGCTTCTGGATGGCGCCGTTGTTGAGAAGACGCAGCAGGGCTTCACCTCCCTGGATGGATAGTTGTCACTCAGGCATAGGGACTTTCCTACCCTGACACTGCTCTTGTCCTTTTTCCTTAGACATGTCGCCCTGGGGGAATTGCCTTCCAGTGAGGTGTTGTGTCCTTTGTCCCTCGACTGTCCAGCATGGGCCCTCTGCCCTGCACCCTCCTCATGTGGGGGGACGGCCTCCTCTTTCCCATAGTGCTTTTTCCTTGAGACATAATTATCAAGACCCCTCATTCCTATCTTTTAAATATAGTTGCAAGATACGTGACTGTTCTCTGTCCGTCCCTTGTCTGTGTGTGGTGGTGCTGAGAGCCCCGGGTGAGCTGGCTTTGGTATCAGGTGCAGCAAACGAAGCATAGTGAGCCAGGCGTTGTTAGTTGTCCACTGTGTTCTCCACTCAGTGGTTCTAAGTAAGAAGTTTCTTCTGCCCAGAATTTGGCAAGCAAGCGAAGTTGGTTTTCTTCGTCACGTTTCTCGTGACGCTCCGCTGGGCCTGGGCGGTTGCTCTTGGCAAAGCCTAAAGTCACTGCAAGTGTTATTACTATAGCATTTTCTCGCTGTCTTTTCTGTATTCTACTTGTATTTTGATTTTTCTCTGCTTCCTTGGAAGTCCTCAGCGATAAAAGAAGTCAGAACTTCCGTTTGTTTTGTATAAAAGTTCAGGGGATAGCACGGAGGACAGCCAGAAACTGCTCTCGTCAGATGGCGTTCAAGGTGGCGGTCATCTTTCCCTGTGCTCTTCATTGTGAAGATTTTCAAGTACCGGAGGAGAGGGACTGAGGCAGCCGTTCCTGGCATCTGGCTTCAGTGGCAGGTATGGGCTGTGCCCTCCTCAGGACCGCCACGCGGCGCTGCCGGGCTCGCCTGGAGAGAGCTCAGAGCCCGCGCATCCCGGCTCGCCGTACTGACGCGTAGGCAAACATCTGTGACGTACAGGGTGAGGCTGAAATTACTTGTAGTGATGCTCTCGGTGAGAGCGGTTCTTTAGCTTTTTCTGGGCTGGAGGAGTTATTTTTTAGAATTGTCCTTGTGTGAGACTGAGAGTCTCAGCAAGCTCAATGACACCACAGACCGCTTAGCTGTGGTCCTAAAACCTGCTCTCCAGACCGCTTTGCATTCTTAAAACTTAAGGATTCCAAAGAACTTTTGTTTATGTAGGTTATACCTATAGATATTTATCATATTAGAAGTTAAAACTGGGATTTTTTTTTTTTCCTGAATAAATGCTTTTTGTCGTGCACCACTGTGGTTTTTGTGTTTGTTGTGCAGCAGCTTTAGGACACAGGGAAACGTCAAGGTCAAGCTCCAAAAGTCTCGTCCTGTTGGTGACACAGAGTTAGAGTAGGAATTCTGATAAGAAGCATGACCATAAAACCCGGCTTCTGGAAGACCGATAGTAGGCTGCCTTGCTCATGCAGCCCTGGGGATCAAAGGTGCGTTTGGAACTGAGGCGTTTGAATCATTTTAATTTGTCTGTTGGCTCTCTCAACATTTTATTAAGACTTTGAAACATACGATAAAGTTCAGAGAATTTTACAGTGAATACCTACCATCCAGATTTCATAATTTCATTTTATTTTACCTGCTTCTTCCCTTATCTATCTCTCCATCCATGAAGACATTGCATTTTTTGGTGTATTTCAGAGTAAGTTGTTGTTGACTTTTTTGCTATGTTTTTGTGCATTATTATTTTTTCAAAACTGGTTGTTTGCAACCTTCCTCAGCCAACAAGTCTCATTTGAAGCACAGAACAGAGTTGTCTGAGTGACGGTTTCTCATCCCCTAAAGAAGGAGTGACCTGGACACATAGGAGTCGAGCTGACCATCCCACAGGGCTTCTTTCAGACAGCAGGGCTCAGCTCTGTTGGAGCCCCCGTCGAGGGAAGCTACCGGGATCACGGCACACATCTGTCACTTTTCAGGCCTTGCCTTGAATTCATAGCCACCCACTGGATGCAGAGCGCAAGAACTGTGCAGTCTGCCCAGCGGTGTACTGAAGCCCGGCGTGCCGGCCCACGGGGTCAGCTGTTCAAAGTGCAGCAGGGTTTTTGGCCTCTTGATGTCCTGTTGATGGCAGAGAATCGGCCGTGGTGGAAGTACTTAACACCTTGGAAGTGGGTACGGGCCGCAGAGGAAGGGCTGTCCCGCAGCCAGCCGTGACACGTTCTGCAGAGGTCCGCTGCAGTAGCCCCACCCCCCCAGCCTGTCCTGTCTGCTGTGGTTGTGTCCGCCCCATGCACGCGTGCTGTGCACCCGCAGCCCAGCTCTGGGAAGAACAGGTGGTTCCCTGTGACCCGTGAGCCCCGGAACCCCGACTTCAGCACCCTCCTCTCTCAAGCTGTCATGAAAGGTCACGACAGGTCAGCTCTTATCTTCGCTTGGCATATCTGGTCTACCCCTGCCCACCACCACCTCTCTGTCCTCTCTTGGTTTCTTTCCGTTTTTAAACCGTGGACCATCCTACATCCAGAAGCATTGGGGTGGCGTGCTCCGTTGGTCTCCTGGTAACACACGTCCCGGTTCTCCTCTTGCCTCTCTGTCTGCTCGTTCCCTGTGAAACCCCCGCTTCTGTCGGCCCCTGAGACGCTGGTGCTGTCTGGCCTCCTCTCTGGTATCCACTCAACGCTCTGTTGGAGTGTCTTCTGTTCACCTGTTGATGACTTTTAAGATCTGAGTGTTCAGCTGAGACCCTTGCCGGGGACCCCGAATCACTGTGAATATTTCCATTGAGGTGGCCTGCTGGTGCCTCTGCTCTGTGCCCGGAATGGACCCATCACTCCCACTGCTGCCCCTAAAATGAGTTTCCAGTATACGCAATTGGTGCCGACCTTCCGGTGTTTGGAGCCACACCTTCAGGCCCACCCCAGCTCCCTGCCCCACACGAGGGGGCTCAGCCTCACAGCCCTGGCGGGTGTGGCTCTGCGGGGCCATCACTGTGGCCGCCATCCTGGTTCAGGCCTCCATCCCCTCTGCCACCTGTGGGTTCTCCTGTCCGGTCCATCCCCAAGCAGGGACCCGCCCTGCAGCTGGACCACAGTGCCCCTACTCAGGAGGCTTGTCATGGGGCTTGCACTAGGTGCCCCCCTTAGTGTGTGTGTGCCCCTCATTGATGTCACAGGCCTGTGAAGTAGGGACCAGTCTTCCTTTTGTTCAGGGACTCAGTAACTACCCAAGGTCACTGAGCTGGAAAGTGTCACATTTCTAACGGAACCCATCTGACAGCAGAGCCCACAGGTTTACCTTGACCTGCCTGGAGGAGGCCCACTGTGGGGTTTGTGGGATTTGTGGGCCGGCCTCATCTTGTCCTCTGCTCTGGTCTCTTGTTACTCCTCTGAGTTGCTGGCTCT